TCAGTCGGAGAAAGGGTTGAGGCTGGAAGCCACGTCTGCCACCGCTGAGGCTAAGCCATTGGACGCGGACTCCGAATCCTCCTCTACTATTTGCCTAAACACGCCCCCAAAAAATAAGAAAACTAAAAAACAAACAAATAAATATCTATATATATATATAAGAATATACATATATATATATATATGTATAGGCATATGTATATGGTTCCTTAGAAGTGGAATGTGGGATTCTTGTCTTCAATTGTTTTGGGGATTCTGAAGTAAGAAGCAGGTCCTCAGTGGTGGTGTCGGCCGCATAGGGGTCAATGGTGAAGGTTGTACTGGTGGTCGTTGGACACGCCTGCCTTCCCGACAGCGAAGAGTCGCAGGCAACACGCATATCCCACACTTAAGTCAGTGAAGAATCGCTTGCAAGTAATTAAGACGCATGTCCTTAATCTAAGTTTGATCACCGCGTCGTCTGGTTCCTGTCTCAGCTTCCTGCTTTGCTGCATGATTGCGCAAGCAAGCCCTAAGCACATTGACGACCCTAATTCCGAAAGCGTACCCCCCTATGAAATGCCCTAAGTCTAAGCTTATACTTGCAGGACTTCCAATGCAGACTACCCATGCCTGTTGCACCGATGGTTCTGCGACTTTGTCCGTGGCTTGCTGCACTCCGCATCCTCACTGGTAGCCTTCTCACTGCGTTGCCTCGTGCGCATGCCACCTGGGGTTTAGGGCTTTAGGATCAAAGCCAGGAAGCACAACCAACACACGACACACAAACCTTGAACGATTACCAGACCCACCATCTAAAAGTTTTGAGGAACAAGACAAGCGAAGCTGTTGAACAAAATCCACCCCCTCGCCCGTCACCTCCACACGTCACGGTGCACTTGGTCCAGTCACCCCAAGCGCCCCACTTGCAGTTACCTCTGGCTTCCTCCACCTCCAGGCGGGAGGGTGCTTGAAGACTTCCCTTGCCTACCATTTGCTTAAGAACCCCAGAAGAATAAAACAATAATAATCCATGTAGTACCCTCATGATGAAGATCTTTTTTTTGGGGGGGGGTCTTAAACAATTAGTGGTTGCAGTTAATGATGTTGGAATCTTGCAAGGTGCTGGAGAAGGCAGCTTACAGGGACTGCTCGCGACACTCACGCGTTGCAGCTGGGGCCGGAGGCTTCTTTCGGTGCTTCGTAGGTGCAGCTGTGACGTTGGGAGGTCTTGCTGCTAAGTCCCCCGTGACTCTGGGGCTCAGGTGATGACAGGACTTGAGATTTGAACCCTAAACCCTAAACCCTAAACCCTAAACCGCCCCTCCCCTCCCTCCCCCCCCCGGCCTGTCTTCTCAGAAGCTGCCCGGAAGCATCCACAGACCAAGCGTGTACAGCAGACACCGGCGCTGGACTCAGAACATGGAGGAAGCTCAGGAAGCCTTTGGTAGCCCAGCAACAGGGTTTAGGGTTTAGGGTTTAGGGTTTAGGGCCCAAGAATAACAAGGGTACCCGGGTACCCTTGCCTTTTTGGGTTGCGGTTACTTTATAAGGGAACCTTGAACCAACAAAAAGGGAAAAGGGCACCATTGGGCTACGAAGAAGCTCAGCCGCGAGAGGGCGGCACTGGAAGAGGAGGGCCTGAGAGGTTTAGAGACATCCATGGCACCTCCTGCAGGTGCACTTGGGCCCAAATGGGAGGAAGCACGGCTCTTTGGATGAGACCCCCACCCAGCTTTTTTGATTTCAGAGAGTTTTTTTGATGTCACAGAGTGAAGCCGTGCAATCTGGTCCTTTCCTGGTCACTGAGGTGTGTAGGGTTTAGAGTTTTTTCGGGTTCTGCCGGCCTGTGTCATTTCCCTCCATGGGCTGCGTTGCTGACAGTGTGGTCGTTCCTGTCGCGGAGGTGACCTTATCACGACGACAACCCCTTTCAAAACTTGCTCGGGGTGTTGCTGGGCCTTCGAAGACTAGATGCTGCAAGGAGGGGCCCCCCTTACTGTACCAACTGTAGTTAAGGGACTTATAACCGAATTTGGGATCCTTATACCCCTAGTTAGGGCTCTTCTAACTCTACGAAGAACTAGGGGGCCCCTCCGTGTAGTTGTGGCGCTCCACATCATGGACTGAGGGCCCGACAGAAGATGAAGAGAGGGTGGTGGTCCCTCCTGGGTGATCTTAAGGTCACTAACAACGGCCAAGCAGAGTGGGAGGAGCCCAGGGCAAAGGATTGTCACCCTAAACCCTAAACCCTAAACCCTAAACCCTAAACCCTAAACCCTAAACCCCTACCGATTCAGCTGCTGAGTTCGGGCAAGTCCTTCGTGACCTCTTGCCGTCATTGCATAACGTGCAATTCTCAGTTTGGCCGGGCAACGCAGGGTGAGAGGCGCCAGAGTGACTTCGCTGCCACCAGGTGCGAGGACCACACGAGCATGGGACACCTTGCAACGTCTGATTCGGACATCAGGGGTATTCCTGCATAGGCTATTAAAATTATCTTACCCTTTTACCAAGGCCCTTTGTAGGGTTGGTCAGTGATGCAACGCCCATCCATGATCAACGCGAGACGTGATGTTCCACATGTCCTTAATTAATTGCCGACTGAGTATTATATCCAAGCAGAACGTCGCAAGGCAACCAAACTTCGGACGTGTGAGGTTTGGTCCCGAAACCCCTTAATTTAGGAATGTACCCAAATTTATAAAAGGATCACTATTACGAATTAGGGTAGATTCCTTAAATGAGGGGTTTTGGAAGACCTGGAAAGTATCAGGGGGAACATCCCAAATGATACATGGTACGCGCCACGTGGAGTATTGCGGCACAATGCTGTCGCATCGCAGGACATATTCCCAGATCTTCCAAAACCCCTTAATCAAGGAATATACCCTATTTCATATTCACGATCCTTAATAAAAAATAGGGCATACTCCTTAGTTAAGGGGTACCCGCAACCCTAGCCCTAAACCCTAAACCTTACTTGAAACTAAGGCGTTATAGGGCATACTCCTTAGTTAAGGGGTACCCTCAACCCTAGCCCTAAACCCTAAGGCGTTATAGGGCATACTCCTTAGTTAAGGGGTACCCTCAACCCTAGCCCTACACCCTAAACCTTACTTGAAACTAAGGCGTTTTGGAAGAACTGGGTTGAATACGTGCCAGGTTTGATGCGGGGTTCTCGAAGCTGAGCAGGACAAGGGGCTGTGGCCCCACCGACCTGTACTTGGTCCAAGCGCGTCTCGTCCTGAGCAACACGGGGTTTAGGGTTTAGGGGTTTAGGGGTTTAGCGGTTTAGGGGTTTAGGGGTTTAGGGGTTTAGGGTTTAGTCTCGAGGTTTATAGGCACAGGGTAACCATGACTATGAACAGACATGATCAAGTGCGGATGTTAGGTGTACGGAAGAAGATGTAAAAATATGGGGTTTCGGAAAAGGCCAACGTGGAGCTTGGACAGGGCATGTGACCCTTAAGCCCTGAACCCAATAACCCCCTTGACTCCCTCACTTCTCAATTTTGCCTTGGAGGTTCATGAAGCAGGATAACTTGGAGGGTCATGGGTACTTACAAGTAGGTTAGAAGTACTGTTGGTTAACCATAGTTTCCCTACCTATAAGTGCGTTAGGATGTTCCCCCTTATACTAACAGTCCTTAGTAGGGATTGTAGTACCCCAATTATAATCCCCATTAAGGACTGTGAGTATGAGGGGGAACATCCCAACAAGTACCCATGGACCCTAAACCCTAAACCCCCTAAACCCTAAACCCTAAACCCTAAACCCATGGACCTAAGTACCAGACCAAGCTCTTGATGGTCCAACAGAAACAAGGCAGGCTCGCCCATCCATTCTCTGAGCTATGACCCCCACACCTTAACACCCTAAACCCTAAACCCTAAACCCTAAACCCTAAAGGTTTAGGGTTGGTTTAGGGTTTAGGGTCTAGGTTCTAGGGTTCAGGGTTTTCCATTGCCATGTAAGCATTGGATTTGTAAGGTCAAGTCGCGCTAACATCACTCGCTTCTCCCAACTCTTGCATGGCTCGGTTTTTGCCACCCACAGTCGTCGAAGTGTTCAAGATGTTCACTTCTCCCAACTCCTACAACTGGGGGTTTACGATATTATAATTACCTTTTTGGGGTCCTTTCTGGGGAGCCTGCTATCTGAGGAGCTACTATCTGGGGGTCTAATTTTAGGGGTCCCTTATTTTCGTAAACCCACAACTCTATATGTGCAATAGCTACCCGGGAGCCCGTCAGGGTCTTTTTGGCTTCAGGGGGGTCCGGGCCAAACCCTAAACCCTTCATCCAAACCCTTACAGCCTTAAACCCTTAAAGCCTTGAAGCCTCAACGCTTGACCCTTAAACCGTAACTTAAAACCCCTTTACCCTCAAACCCTAAACCTTCAAACCCTAAACCCTTCTTCTGCCAAGGTGCGAAGACGCCCTGCCAGGCATCCGTGCCCGCAAAGTAGGAGGCAAGCTGCTGGGCCGTGGCACCTCCCCGTTGCGGCTTAGGGTTAGGAGTTTAGGGTTTAGGGTTCAGGGTTCAGGATTTAGGGTTGAGGGTTTAGGGTTAGGGTTTAGGGCTCAGGGCTTAGGGTTCAGCATGGACATCCATTGGGCAGAAACGCACCGAATTCGTTGGGGATTCATGTACTCTCCCACTCAAACAGTCACCTCCCCACGCTCGACCCTCAAACCCATACCCTCCAACCGTGTGTGGGCTCAAGCCTTGCATCCCCAACCGCACATCGGGTTTAGGGTTTAGGGTTTAGGGTTTAGGGTTTAGGGTTTAGGGTTTAGAGGTGTCATCCCGTTACCCAGGTGAATGACCCCTTCAAGTTCAACACCACTTCCACTCTGGTCAATAAAACCTGGGCAAGGGCACACGAACAGTCGCCCAAACCAAAACCTGCTGGAACCCCCAATGGTCCAGACATTCTGCCCTAAACCCTAAACCCTAAACCCTAAACCCTAAATTTGGGACGCTGGCCTTGCAAGAGCGTCTCGGTGAGCATAGTGGCCACGCTGACGTCACCTACCGGCACTTTCAACATGCCAACGGAGAATGTGTTGTTACAAGGAAGGGCCCCCTTACTATACTAACTGTTAGGGTTTAGGGTTTAGGGTTTAGGGTTTAGGGTTTAGGGTTTAGGGTTTAGGGACTTATAACCTAATTTAGGATCCTTTTAACCCAATTTAGGGTCCTTATAGCTCTACTTATCACTAGGGGGCCCCTCCTTGTATAACTAGGTAACCTGACAGGCAGGTTGCTGAGGACAAGCCTCATTGATACACGCTTATAGATGGTCTCCGGCTGAACACTCCTCGCTAGATGAGGGGTGTGCCAACTGACAGACGGACAGATTCCTGTTTTAGTCGGGCATTTCGAAGACAGCAGTGGCCGCCTGCATCCGCCGGGCGAATGCGGAAGTCGGCCAGAAGCGAAAACCTCACTTCAAGATTCGGGGAGGGGTTTACGGTCTAGGGTTGGGTTAGGGTTTAGGGTTTAGGGTTTAGGGTTTCGGGTTTAGGGTTTAGGGTTTAGGGTTTAGGGTTTGGGGTTTGGGGTTTGGGGTTTGGGGTTCGGGGTTTGGGTTTAGGAGACTCATCCAATGTGCAGGATACCATACGGTCACTCATCGGCTCTATTCACAACCTCTTCATCCCATAAGCCCTACAGACAAGCAAGCCCCTGTAAGCCCAGAGGCTTTAGGGTTGTAAGGTTTTAGGGTTTAGGGAAACCCTACAAATAACCCCTTAAGCTTGATAAATTGTATGCATCCGTTCGCCGCATTCTCGACCATCCATGGCATCCCCCCGCCAACTCTAAACATTACCCCCCCCCCCAGCCGTTAAACAGCTCCTCACGACTGGAAACGTGAATATACACGCTAAACCCTAAACCCTAAAACACTAAACCCTAAACCCACTCAGCCCTGAACCTCAACTCTCCACCCGACCAAAACCCTGAACACCCATACGAAACACCAAGCCCACCATGAACATCTGGGGGAGAGGAGAGACTCTAACCCCAAAGACCCCAAAGACGACGCAACCTAAACGCGCAATGAACCTCCGGGAGAAAACCGAAAACTCTAAGCCCTAAACCCTCAACCCTAACCCCCCTAAACCCGAAACCCTTTTGAGCAACAGACTTGGAGGCTGCCTGCAAAGCCCTAAACCCTAATCCCTAAACCCTAAACCCTAAACCCTAAACCCTACCCCTAAACCCTAAACCCTAAACCCTAAACCCACCACGAACCACACAAGGCGGATGCTATGGGAAGGGGAAGCGAGGCCGAGAGCGACAGATTTTGGTGCACATTTGGGCTCTTTAGGACAATAGGAGGGACCCCTAGAAGGGACCCTGAATCTGATTCCCCCACATAACCCCTATATTAAAAAACATATGTATAAACACACACACACACCTTATGTAGTCCCAATATACCGAAGTCGCCCCCCGAAAAACCCCGAAATAACCACAAGGTCCCTTAGAAGGGTCCCTCCTTTAGCCCCTTGACCTCCTACATCCATGGGTAGTTGCATGGGCCCTTCATATGGTCCCATACCTCCTTTAAAGGGTTTTGAAAGTATGGGCCTGTAATTATATAGCTTCTATATCAAGGGTATATAGGGTTTCCCGTGTCAAGGGCCCAGACTAAGGGATCATGTAACTACCCTTAGATAATTTAAACACCCTGTGAATCCTATAGATTATGTACCCCACAAGCCCTTGTCGCCCCTATAAGAGGCCTTAAGCACCCTGTAAACCCTAAACCCCAAGCCCCAAACCCTAAACCCCCTGCAAGCCCCCAAGCTTGTGCGTGCGCGGATACCTCCGTGGGGTGCCCGCAAGACGTCGCAGCCGCCCGGCAAGAATCAAGTCCTGAAAGCTTAGGGTTTAGGGCTTAGGGTTTAGGGGTTCACTTCCGATGGCTGGTTCTTAAACGAGGGAATGAGGGCCCTATGTAATCCCTCAAAGGGTGTATGTAAGGCTCTCATTCCCTCAATCCCTACTAAGAACCAGAGGGTTTGAGGCTTAGGGTTTCGGAGGTCTTGTTAGAGGTCCTGTACCTCAAAAAAGGGCTTTAGGGTCATTGGGTTAGGGTTTAGCAAACTGCTGCTCTTGAACGTCGAACTTTGAGAGGAATGGAGATTGATTCTTGTAGGGGTGACATGGTTTTAGGGTTTATAAACCCTAAACCCTATATAAATCCCCCAAGTTCCACTTCACCGGAAACCTGACAAGCTGTCGAAACAATGTCAGCATGATGGCTGTCAGGACAATCCGTCCATCTTCCCTCATTCCTCTCAACGGCTCAGAGGGCTTGTGCTACACTCTTAGGGTAGCTACATGCTACACTCTTGGGGTAGGTACATGGTCCCTGAACAAGGAATTCGCGCTTCTCGCCGCCATGGAAGGTATCGATGGCGTTTTCATGACGTCGAGCACAAGTGAAAGCAAATTGCTGAAAACACTGGCAGGCGCAGTGAATTCGAGACAGCGCAACAAACATGCCCATTTTTGCATGCGTGGAAAAGCATGGCAGGCGTGGGTTAAGAGGCATTTTGCGTAGGGATTCGTAGCATTGGGAAATTTCTCGATTTTCAGCACAGTGTGTCCGGAAGGCAAAAGCTCGGTGAGAAAATGTGCAAAACCAAAAGTTGCTGTCATTCTCATTTATTTGCGGTGACGTAGGTAAAGGTTTAGGGTTTAGGGTTTAGGGTTTAGGGTTTAGGGTTAAGGGTTTAGGGTGTAGGGCTTAGGGTTGAGGGTTTAGGGTTTAAAGTTTAAGGCTTAGGGTTGCTGCCTTGCACTGCTTTGAAGTGGATGGGTTCGGAAGGCAGGGTTCAGGTGGAGGTAAGCATGGCGCGCGTAAGCAGGGAATCCTTCAACCGAACTGCAGTGCTCAGGGTGTAATGTCTAGGGCTCAGGGTCTAGGCTTGAGGGATTTCATGTTTAGGGTTCAGGCTTGAGGTGCAATTCGCAGGATACTTTTCATGTCAGGTTGTTTGTAAAGCTGCTGGGAAAGAGACCTCTCAGGGCGGAGCTGTCAGCCGTCTGACGACTTTGCACGTCCACGTGCAAAGGCGGAATTCAAGGGCTCGTACTCTTGACGAATCTCTTTTTGCAGGCAGCGCCTTAAACACTGAAAATATACCATGTGGTTTGTCTGTTCCGCATGGAACCACCCCCCCCCCCCCCCCCCCCCCCTCCACTGCTGGCCACCCGCCCTCCTGCCCCCACCCCCCCCCCCCCCCCACCCACTTTCGACCCCCGCTGCTGGGTTTTATAGCTCAGTAACCAGTAACCCAAAAAACTCAAGGGGACGAATCTTTGGAGTTGGTTACTTTAGAAGGGAATCCTGAACCAAAAAAGGGGGGAAAAGGTAAACCCTAAACCCAAACCCTAAACACCGGGGAAACCGGGCATCAACGGCTATCATCCGCCGACGGCGTGTCCCCGAGTTCCTGCTGCCGAGGCTCAATGTTCAGGATCTCGACCTTGCGTGAGGAGGGGTTTAGGGGTTTTTTGCCACCCGCCTAGCTGACTCTCAGGCCACATTGGTTTAGGGTTTAGGAGTTTAGGGTTTCGGGTTTAGGGCGTCGGGCTTAGCGGTCGGAGAGGGTCGGTGTGACTGCTTGGAGGCTCATAGGTACTTAGAAGTACGGTCGGAAGTACGCTAATCATGGTTACCGTACTCCTCCAGGTTGTTTTCTGGCACCCGCATAGCTGGACGAACCACTCAGCAGGGATCTTGGGGTTAGGATTTAGGCTCGCGTGCTGTTGGTTGGCAGTTGTTGCCATGCTTGCTTCTCGATCCGTCTGCAATGATCAGAGCGCGCGCCATCCAGATCACGTCCAACATTCGCTACGCATCTTGTCTTGTGCCTAACTACAGCGCGCGAGTCCGCGAAACAACAGCTGGGTGGAGCCTTCCATCGGACTAAGCCTAAAGCGACGAAACCCTACAGATCCCAAGACAGATCATCATCCGGCACCCACCAGAATGCACAACTCGCAGGCGTGCCCTTTCAAACGATGTCACTCCATCAGAGCCGAAATCCTCAACCTGAAAAGGTTGCCATGCTTACGGGCTTGTATTTCCCAAGTTTGCAAATCATACCCACCTTTTGGGGTCTAGTTTATAATAACGGTACCTGCTTTGGACTATGTGGGGCCTTTTTGGAAGTTCATATAGGGGCCTGAACAATGAGAATAGGATTTTTTTTGGGGGGGGTTTCTTCTAGTATAGTTTTAAAGGGACCAGAAGGGATTACTGATTACTGCTGGTAATTATTCCGATCCCTATATTAGCTTAAGATCGTGCTTGCTGCCACGATGCCTGGTTGGGCTCGACGCCTGGCAGCTGTGGGTTTGAGGACTTTTTTTGCTGCAGGGACGGTTTAGGGTTTAGGGTTTAGGGTTTAGGGTTTTGGCGTGCACATGGCAAGCAAGAAGCGCTTGCCATTGCACCTTGGAGGGGTCTGGATGCCGTGATGTGCTGTCTAAGGGCTTTGGAGTTTTGGTAGAGGATGGTGTTTCGGAATTTGGGTGACAGATAGAGACAAACACGTAAGCACACAAAAGCTATGTAAATACATAAGCATGGAAACACAGAGTTGTACCAAGCATGTGAATTTAATTACACCTTCTTGAAGATGCTGATGTACACTCTTTACTCTTCCACCCTCTCTCACCGGCACCGTGACAACGGCCTGGGAGACCCTGGCTGATGCCAAGTTGGAGGAGATTCCGCAGCTCCTTGCAAGCAAGCAAGCGTGCTTGGAGGTTCATGGGTAGCTATGAGTAGGGTCATAAGTTATAAGTACACAAAAAAGGGGTATAGAAAGAGTTACCATACTTCTAACCGGTTCGGTTCTTTGAGCACAGCGTTTCCATTGTGGGCTTTGTTCCCAGATGGAGCCTCTTTTTGGGAGCCGTTCCATGAGCAATCCCGTACGGAAGAACAACCCTCATGTTCTGTCGCATTCTGTTTACTTCAAGAAAGCCGAGCGCCTGGAGACAACTGAACGTGCTATTTTATGCAAGCAGGCTCGACGCACGAATCTCATAGCTCTGCGGGGGTTTGAAGAAGTATAGCAGCCTCGAACCAGCGCCCGGAACTCACAATGTTCAGTGAGCTTTGTGTTTAGGGATGATTTTCTGGTTGGTCAGCACAGTTTCTTAAAGGCTGCCAAGGTTTGACTTGGGGAGCTTCAAGGGATTGCCCTTCCCCAAAAAGGTTGAAGCGCCACAGTTGCATAGCGAGTCCACAGCCCAGTCTGTGAGAGGACAGGTTGGTTGGTTGGTTCAGAGACACCGATGTGTCATCTCTGGGCGAGAAGGGGAAAGACAGGGTTTAGGGTTTAGGGTTTAAGGTTTAGGGTTAAGGGTTTTGTCATGGGCATTCGTTGGGTAGCTTTATCATACGGGTAGCTCTCTAAAATAGGGTCCTTTTGGGGTCCTTCTTTTATGCGGGCCGTACTGTTTGCATGCTGCATGTAGTACCCCAAAGAAGGACCCTAATTTCGCGAACTACCCATATCTATCCAGGGATGAAAGTGCAGATAATCCGAAACCCTAAACCCTTAACCTCAACCCTAAACCCTAAACCCCAAATCCTCAACCTCCCCAGAGTCCTGGCTCTTTCTCAATTCGTCCAGGGAGGCGTTGTCAAAGCCCAGGCTCAGGTCAATCCGCAGCTGGCCTCTGAAAACCCTTAGGGTTTAGGGTTTAGGGTTTAGGGTTTAGGGTTTGGGGTTTGGGGTTTAGGGTTTAGGGTTTAGGCTTATACTAACAGCTCCTTCATAGGGAGTATAATAGGGGGTACTAGAGCCCCTTTTTGAGGACTGTTCTTAAAAGGGGGAACATCCCAACCCTAAACCCTGAACCCCTTAAACCCTACATCTCTTGAAGCTCCTAGTGGTTTGGGCTCGAGGGTTGGCCCAAACCCCCCAAACCCCATTTTCTAGGTTTAGGGTTTAGGGTTTATAGGGTTTAGGGTTTAGGGTTTAGGGTTTAAGGCTTGTAGGGAATTTGCTATGGTCTCCAGCGCGATTTGCTTTGTGGGGGGGAGGATCCGAGCCGGCTATGCTGCCCCTCTCTGCCGATCAGCCTCAGAGCGCTGAAACACTACTTCCGTCAAAGGGGCAAGGAGTGCTTGTCACAAACAATGGTCCAAGATACCCTAGACCCTAGACATTAGACCCCAAACCCTAAACCCCAAACCCCAAACCCCAAACCCTAAACCCCAAACCCCAAACCCTAAACCCTAAACCCTAAACCCTAAAGATGTGTGGCACCAGCAGCGCTGTGGAATGCTAACTGCACGACACCCGGAAGATGGTGTAGCAGCTAATTGGCATTTGAGGAGGGCGGTAGGGTTTAGGGTTTAGGGTTTAGGGTTTCGGGTTTAGGGTTTAGGGTTTAGGGTGGTGCGCCGGGGCGGTGCCCCGAGTCCATGTGCGAACCTCAAGGAACTCTCGCAGCCACCATGTGGACATCGCATCTCTGCAACTGAAGCGGGCCCCAACCCTAAACCCTAAACCCTAAACCCTAAAACCCTAAGGCCCTGAGCAAACCTTCGAAGAGTGCTACGGTAACCCCTTCTTGCAGTCATGCTTCCGTAGACCTCAGCTGCAAAAGGTGCAAACGACAAGCACGCAGCATGACACGACCTCTGGGATGATATGTCAACGTCAAAAAAGGGGCGAGTCGATAAAACTAGGCCAGCATGATCCTGTCTTCGCTGGATGAAGCATCTACCAGACTGGAAAAGCAAAGGTCAAGGGGGGTCGATCTAAGTTGTGGCCCTTTCTTGGTGATCTCTATTCCTGCAATTTGCATAATCGTCCCTATATTTCCCTCCTATGGAAGAACTTTTTTGTTTTTTTTTTTTCGGGGGGAGGTTCTTAAAAATCTTAAGCATATAGTAGATTCTGGTCTGTTCCTGATCGATTCAGGCACCAAAAGGGCCACTTACTTCAGGTAAACATCCTGGTCGAGCTCAAGTCAGGAAGACCGATCACATGTCAGGGTTTAGGGTTTAGGGGTTTTCCGAAATTCGGGCACCTTATTGGGGGCCGTATTACAAGGCAACCCCACTATTCAAAAATCTATATTCATTGGGAGTCCCTTATTCTCGTAAGCCCCCACGTCTAAGATGCACTGTTGATGAACAACACTCCCTAAACCCTAAGCCCTAAACCCTAAACCGTAAACCCTAAAGCCGATCTTCGTTCAAACTGCCTCCTCGGAATGCGCGCGTGCGCATGAGACATCGAGCGGCTGCCTCTTCATTCATAGGACCCTAAACCCTAAACCCTAAACCCTAAACCCTAAACCCTAAACCCTAAACCTACACCCCTTGACTCCGTGGCCCAACATCGCCCCAGCCAGGCAGCTCCCAGAACCCTAAACTCTCTCTCTCAGGTGCTCGAAGCGACACACCTGTTCGCAGCAGGGCGTGGTACATTGACCATCCCACTTGCAGAAGTACTACCGAAAACCGGAGCCACAAGACATGCCAAAGGTCAAAACCCCCAAGCCCGACAAGCAAAACCTAAACCCTGGACCCTAAACCCTAAACCTCGGGGGGGTCTTCCTGCAAAACCACCTGCATGCCAAGGTGCAAAAGCAAGCCAGGAGTTGTTGCCTGGCTGCCATGTACCGCAGAAGCCAAGCGTACATTAAACCCTAAACCAAAGGGTTTCGGATTTTAGGGTTTTGGGCTAAATAAACCCCTTAAAGTGCACTTTGCAGGGTACCCGTATATGAGCCCGAGAGACAAAATGCATTCTTGGTAGCTGCCTAATCCGGTCCCCAGAGTAAACAGAGCGATGAAACGGGTGCCCTTTTTGGTTTAACAAAGGGGCTTGTCAAGAGAACCCGAACCCTAACAAAAGGGAACTTAGCTTTGGAGTAGACCCTGGAAAAAAAAGTATATACTTTTTTCGGTATAAGTAGCTATAATAGGAACCCAGAACAAAAAAAAAGTACTAAAGTACAGTACTCCAAGACCCAGGGAACAGGGCCTGCTCTGAGTCCTAGGAATCGGAACCCTAATGCTGAAGCCAAGGTGAGTCTGCAGAGATGGTGCAGCAAACTACCATTTGCTTGAGAACGCCCCCCCCCCCCCCCCCCCCCCCCCCCAAAAAAAAAAAAAAAAGAGTTATCCCTTTATTGCCCTTATAACCAAGACTGATTGTATATGTTATGTGGGGTTAAGGAAATAGTGCAAAGGTTCAGGGCCCTGCGGTGGTTATCAGGAGGGTTTTGGGCTTAAGGTTTAGGGTTGAAGGAGGACCCCTAGAAGGGACCCTTAATCTTATTCCCCTACATAAGCCCTCACATGTAACCTATACAGTCCCTATATACCAAAGGAGCCCTAGATAACCCCTAAAGAACCTCCAAGGTCCCTTGTAAGGGTCCCTCCTTTGGTCCCCTGAGTTTAGGGTTCTTGTAGCTGGTGGTGGCGGCTCTTCTGGTACAGTCCCAGCGAGGTGCGGCCATAACGCTCGCTTCCAATCGTTTAACAGGTTTCCTGGAGCCACTGGGCTTACAAAAGGCCCGAACTAAACCCTAAACCCTAAACCCTAAACCCTAAACCCTAAACCCTAAACCCTAAACCCTAAACCCTAAACCCTAAACCCTAAACTCGAACCCTAAAAACCCTACACCCTACATGCCGAGACCTTCAACGACACGCAGTCTAGCATGTAAGGTTTAGGGATTTTGGTTGAGGGTTTAGGGTTTCGGGTTTGCAGCAAAGCCGCGAACCGAACCGCAAACCGGAACCGAACCGCCAGTTTGAACCGTGAACCGCCGAAACCGCGACAAACACTAACCGCCATGGAACCGAACCTCAAGCCAACACCTTAACCCCTCCAGACCCTCCAGCCCCTCCAGCCGCTCCAGCCCCTCCAGCCCCTAGCCCCTCCCCTCCAGCTGGAGAAACCGTTTGGGGTTTGGGGGGTTATCCTTTTGCCACGGTTAGGATACCCCCCCTCCCACCCCCACCCACTCCCCCTCCAAAAACCCGAGAAAGCCCTACAGGAATCAACCTGACACCATACTCAGCCGAGCCGAGTTGCTGCGGTTCAGCACCTCTGATGCGTTCTCTTCCGTCCTCCGTACGTTTGGGGTTTAGGGTTTGGGGTTTGGGGTTTGGGGTTTAGGGTTTAGGGTTTAGGGTTAGGGCTTGGGGTTTAGGGTTTGGGGTTTGGGGTTTTGGGGTTTAGGGCTTACAAGGCTCGCACGGACAAGGTTCGTGGCTTGCAGAGGTCAAGACCAGCAGGTTCTTATTCTTATACATATCCAAGAAGAGCGTTCGTATTTAATCCATGCATGATGTTGACTTCGAACTATATTTATAGTGATACTGATACTTAAATTTGTATGTATGTATGTGTACATATATATATCTATGTATATCTGTATGTGTGTGATATTACCTTGCATTCTGTATAGTATCTCCCATTAGATTAGCAAAAAATGAAGACCTATCAGATCAGCCCTTAACCCTGTGCAGGGTTTTGGTTCCTTGGGCTTAAAAAAGACTGTGACCTAAGACGAGATTCCAGTCTGAGACGTTACCATCGACGTCATCCAGCGATGCCGACTCATTGGCATCTTCACCCATATCTTCGGAGACATTCGAGGGTTCATGGGGAACGTCGGTCTCGTTCCAGCCCTGAGCCCGCCACGTCTAAAGTGAGAATGAGTTGCAACACTGCGGGAAGCCTCTTGGACTACTTCCAGCGCCTGGCGTGAAGCCTGTTTCTGGAGCAAGTCCCTACTGAGGAAGCGACGTCGCTGTCGTTGGCCGACTCGTTACCGGCGTAAGAAGCATGAACTTCGTCTTCCTGCAAAGTGGGCGTGCTTGGATCTCACACAGCCGGGTCAGCTGATATGCTTATATACTTGCAGCATTGCTCTCGCTGCGGAGAGCATTGCTATGACGCTTCGGATACAGGGGCCAACTAGGATCAAACATTCTTTTCATGTGCAGTGATGTTCAGCCATCGCCAGCCACTTGAGCGTTGCCTGTAGCTGATTGCACGCCAAGACGCCTGAAGATTTGAAGAGCCATTGCCTTGCTTGGTTGACAATACCACTTTGCATGGGCAGGCCTCATGCGGAAACAAAGGAGTAGACAAATGAAACATGTTGCTCGCCTCGTGTGCCACGCGATGACGAAACAACTAAATATCCGCAGAAGCAAGCAACAGGACAACCACACAAGGCCTCACGGAAGTTGTCTGACCATTTGCCAGTGCACCGCTCCATCAACCGTATCCAAAAAAATCAACGAAGCACCTTGACACCAAACCTGTGCATGCCCCGAGCTGCTGGTGTTCAACGTCGCATCTGACACGTTCTCTGTCCTTAGAAGCACTTGAGTTTGAACCTTGCAAGGTTCGCGCATGAGCTGCCAAAACAACGCGCATTGCAAAATGCAGAACTCTGCACTAGCACCTGCCGCACCATCGAAGACGAGACTCCAATCTGACAGGTTCCCATCGATGCTTTCTGGCTCGACCGACTCATTCACATCTTCCCAAACATCTTCGGAGACATTCCAGGTTTCATTGGGAACGTCGGTCTCGTTCCAGCCCTCAGCACGCCACATACAAAGTTTCTGAAGGACTATAGCAGCACAAGCCGCATACGGTAGTGTCTCAAACAGTCTCAAAAGCATGTATCATCTGGCTCTTGGCTTCTTGTCTGAATGGATGCAAGCCACTGGCAAAAGACGACCCACTGAAATGCTCCGCACAGCAACCCGCTGCAACAAAAACTGAGGAAGAGACATCACTGTCGTTGGCAGACTCGTTTCCAGCATAAGCAGGAGCATCGTCTTCCTGCAAAGCGGGCGTGCTTGGATCTCACACAGGCTTGAATGCGTAACACCGCGTGGCCGTATGGTGATTCCTTGCAGCGGACAAGCTGGGTCAGTGCTGCTATTAGGCTTGCAGCATTGCTCTCGCTGCTGTTGCGATGTCGCTTCAGATCCGAGGACCAGTGAAGAGCACACGCTTTGCCTGTGGCTCATTGCAGGCCAAGACGCCTGAAGATTTGAAGAGCCATTGCCTTGCTTGGTTGACAGTACCACACCCTTGCAAGGGGAGCCCCTCATGTGGAAGCAAAAAAAGAGTAAACAAAGGAAAGCTTTACCTCAAACAGCATGCATAGCACCAGCAGGAAGCAACACGACAACTACGCACAGCCTCACGAAGGTTGTCTCACCATATACTGCTGTGCACAAGTGCACCGCTACATCAACAGTATCAAAAAAATCAACGAAGCACCTTGACACCAAACCTGTGCATGCCCCGAGCTGCTGCTGTTCAACATCGCATCTGACACGTTTTCTGTCCTTAGATCATCTTGTCAGTGCTTCTGACTCTGAAATCGAGCACTTCATTTTGAACCTTGCAAGGTTCGCGCATGAGCTGTGCCCAAAGAACATGCAATGCAAATGCAGAACTCTGCACTAGCACCTGCAGCACGATCGAAGACGAGACTCCAATCTGACAGGTTCCCATCGATGCTTTCTGACCCGACCGACTCATTCACATCTTCCCAAACCTCTTCGGAGACATTCCAGGTTTCATTGGGAACGTCGGTCTCGTTCCAGCCCTGAGCCCGCCACAGACACAAATTTCTGAAGAACTCAAGCAACACAAGCAGCAGAGTGTCTCTCAAAAGCATGTACATGGCTCTGGGCTTCTTGTCTGAATGGATGCCGCAGCAACCCGCTGCAACAAAAAACTGAGGAAGAGACATCACTGTCGTTGGCCGACTCGTTTCCAGCATAAGAAGCAGGAGCATCGTCTTCCTGCAAAAGCCGGATGCTTGCATCTCACGCAGCCTTGAATGCATAACACCACATGGCCGCATGGTGTTGGTCAGTGCTGCTTATAGGCTTGCCACATTGAGGGACCTGCTCGGATCAAACGTTCTTCTCATGCTCAGCCACGTCAAGTCACTTGAACTTTGCCTTTAAGCTGATTGCAGGCCAAGGCGCCTGAAGATTTGAAGAGCCATTGCCTTGCTTGGTTGACCATACCACACTTGCATGGGGAGCCCTCACGCGGAAAAAAAGAACAGTAAACAAAGGAAAGCATAACCTCGGCTCATCTGACACACGCTGACGAAGCACCTGAATCACAAACCACGTGACAACCACGCAAACCCTCACGGAAGTTGTCTGACCACATTGCTTTGCACCAGTGCACCGCTATATCAACAGTATCAAAAAAACAAAAAACAACTTGACACCAAACCTCTGCATGCCCCGAGCTGCTGGTGTTCAACATCGCATCTGACACGTTTTCTGACCTGAGATCATCTTGTCAGTGCTTATGACTCTGTCAAACTAGGCTTCCAGCGGCACTCTAAACCAGGACCTGCACCACGATCTACGACGAGACTCCAATCTGACAGGTTCCCACCGATGCTTTCTGGCTCGACCGACTCATTCACATCTTCCCAAACATCTTCGGAGACATTCCAGGTTTCATTGGGAACGTCGGTCTCGTTCCAGCCCTGAGCCCGCCACAGACACAAATTTCTGAAGAACTCTAGCAACACAAGCAGCAGAGTGTCTCTCAAAAGCATGTATAATCTGGCTCGGATTATCTTGTCTGAATGGATACCGGCCATCGGCAAAAGACGACACGCTGAGATGCTCCTGTACACCAACCCGCTGCAACCACTGAGGAAGGGACGTCGCTGTCGTTGGCCGACTCGTTTCCAGCATAAGAAGCAGGAGCATCGTCTTCCTCAAAGCATGGCGTGCTTGGATCTCACGCAGCCTTGAATGCATAACACCACACGGCCGCATGGTGATTCCTTGTAACGGACAAGCTGGGTCAGTGCTGCCATTAGGCTTGCCACGTTGAGGGACCAGTACGGATCAAACATTCTTCTCATGCTCAACCATGTCCGGCCCCTTGAACTTTGCCTTTAAGCTGATTGCAGGCCAAGACGCTTGAAGATTTGAAGAGCCATTGCCTTGCTTAGCTAGTTGAACGTACCACACGCATGGCGAGCCCTCATGCGGAAACAAAAGAGTAAACAAACAAAGGAAACCTTGACCTCGGCTCATGTGACACATGCTGAACAGCTGCACAGCCTTACGAAAGCTGTCTCGCCACATTGCTGATCCTGGAAAAAACCTTGAAACCAAACCTGTGCATGCTCCGAGCCGCTGCTGTTCAACATCGCATCTGACACGTTCTCTGTCCTTAGATCATCTTGTCAGCTCCTATGTTCTTTCAATCAAGCACTTCCAGATTGAACCTTGCATGCTTCGCGCATGGGTTCCAGCTGCGTCCAAACAACATGCAATTTGCAAATGCAGAACTCTGCACCTGCACCATCACCTGCCACGATCTACGACGAGACTCCAATCTGACAGGTTCCCATCGATGCCTTCTGACTCGACCGACTCATTCACATCTTCCCAAACATCTTCGGAGACATTCCAGGTTTCATTGGGAACGTCGGTCTCGTTCCAGCCAAGAGCCTGCCCGCCACACACGCAAATTCTGCAGAACCATAGCAACAAGAGCGGCAGTGTGTCTCAAACATTCTCAACTGCATGTATATGGCTCTGGGATTCTTGTCTGAATGGCTGCCGGCCACCGGCAAAAGACGACACACTCAAGTGCTCCTGTACACCAACACGCTGCAACCACTGAGGAAGGGACATCGCTGTCGTTGGCCGACTCGTTTCCAGCATACGAAGCAGGAGCATCGTCTTCCTGCAAAAGCTGGATGCTTGCATCTCACGCAGCCTTGAATGCATAACACCACATGGCCGCATGGTGTTTCGTTGTATCCGACAAGCTAGGTCATTGCTGCCAATAGACTTGCAGCATTGCTCTCGCTGCTCTTCTGAGCATTGCTATGTCGTTTCGGACCCGAGGACCAGCGAAGATCATATGTTGCTCCCCTTGTCAAGCCATTACTTGAACATCGCCTGTAGCTAATTGCAGTCCAAGACGCTTGAAGATTTGAAGAGCCATTGCCTTGCTTGGTTGACCGTACCACATGCATGAGGAGCCCTCACGCGGGAGCATTAAAAGAAAACACCACGGAAAGCAAAATCTCGGCTCATGTGACACACTCTGACGAAATAGCTGAATGGCAGTAGCAGCAAGCGACACGACAACCACTCACAACCTCACAGACGTTCTCACCAGACTGCTATGCACCCGTGCACCGCTCTATCAACACGTGCCAAAAAATGAACGAACCACCTTGGCACCAAACCTCTGCATGCCCCGAGCTGCTGCTGTTCAACATTGCATCTGAAACGTTTTCAGTCCTTAGAACATCTTGTCAACGCTCATGCTCTTTCAACGGAGCACTTCATGTTGAACCTTTGCAAGGTTCGCGCACGGCTTCCAGGTGTGCCAAAACAGCATGCAGTGAAAATGAAGAACTCTGCACCAGGATCTGCACCACGATCTACGACGAGACTCCAATCTGACAGGTTCCCATCGGTGCTTTCTGGCTCGGCCGACTCATTCACCTCTTCCCAAACATCTTCGGAGACATTCCAGGTTTCATTGGGAACGTCGGTCTCGTTCCAGCCCTGAGCCTGCCCGCCGAAAACACAACTTCTGCAGAACCATAGCAGCACAAGCGGCATTGTGTCTCAAACGTTCTCAAATGCATGTATATGGCACTGGGCTTCTTGTCTGAATGGCTGCCGGCCACTGGCAAAAGACGCCACTCTGAAGTACTCCCGTACACCAACCTGCTGCAACCACTGAGGAAGGGACATCGCTGTCGTTGGCCGACTCGTTTCCAGCATACGAAGCAGGAGCATCTTCTTCCTGCAACAGCTGGATGTTTGCATCTCACGCAGCCTTGAATGCATAACACCACATGGCCGCATGGTGTTTCGTTGTATCCGACAAGCTAGGTCATTGCTGCCAATAGACTTGCAGCATTGCTCTCGCTGCTCTTCTGAGCATTGCTATGTTGTTTCGGACCCGAGGACCAGCGAAGATCATATGTTGCTCCCCTTGTCAAGCCATTACTTGAACATCGCCTGTAGCTGATTGCAGTCCAAGACGCTTGAAGATTTGAAGAGCCATTGCCTTGCTTGGTTGACCGTACCACATGCATGGGGAGCCCTCATGCGGAAACATTAAAAGAAAAAACACGCAATGCAAAATCTCAGCTCATGTGATACATGCTGACGAAACAACTGAATAGCAGTAGCAGCAAGCGACACGACAACCACTCACAACCTCACGGAGGTTCTCACCATTCTGCTGCGCACCCGTGCACCGTTCTATCAACACGTGCCAGAAATCAACGAACCACCTTGGCACCAAACCTCTGCATGCCCCGAGCTGCTGCTGTTCAACATCGCATCTGAAACGTTTTCAGTCCTTAGAACATCTTGTCAACCCTCATGCTCTTTCAACGGGGCACTTCAAGTTGAACCTTTGCAAGGTTCGCGCACGGCTTGCAGTTGTGCTAAAACAGCATGCAGTGAAAATAAAAAAACTCTGCACCAGGATCTGCACCACGATCTACGACGAGACTCCAATCTGACAGGTTCCCATCGATGCTTTCTGGCTCGACCGACTCATTCACATCTTCCCACACATCTTCGGAGACATTCCAGGTTTCATTGGGAACGTCGGTCTCGTTCCAGCCCTGAGCCTGCCCGCCGAAAACACAACTTCTGCAGAACCATAGCAGCACAAGCGGCATTGTGTCTCAAACGTTCTCAAATGCATGTATATGGCACTGGGCTTCTTGTCTGAATGGCTGCCGGCCACTGGCAAAAGACGCCACTCTAAAGTGCTCCCGTACACCAACCTGCTGCAACCACTGAGGAAGGGACATCGCTGTCGTTGGCCGACTCGTTTCCAGCATACGAAGCAGGAGCATCGTCTTCCTGCAACAGCTGGATGCTTGCATCTCACGCAGCCTTGAATGCATAACACCACATGGCCGCATGGTGTTTCGTTGTATCCGACAAGCTAGGTCATTGCTGCCAATAGACTTGCAGCATTGCTCTCGCTGCTCTTCTGAGCATTGCTATGTCGTTTCGGATCCGAGGACCAGCGAAGATCATATGTTGCTCCCCTTGTCAAGCCATTACTTGAACATCGCCTGTAGCTGATTGCAGTCCAAGACGCTTGAAGATTTGAAGAGCCATTGCCTTGCTTGGTTGACTGTACCACATGCATGGGGAGCCCTCACGCGGAAACATTAATAGAAAACACCACGGAAAGCAAAATCTCGGCTCATGTGACACACTCTGACGAAACAGCTGAATAGCAGTAGCAGCAAGCGACACGACAACCACTCACAACCTCACGGAAGTTGTCTCACCATACTGCTATGCACCCGTGCACCGCTCTATCAACACGTGCCAGAAAATCAACGAACCATCTTGGCACCAAACCTCTGCATGCCCCGAGCTGCTGCTGTTCAACATCGCATCTGAAACGTTTTCAGTCCTTAGAACATCTTGTCAACCCCCATGCTCTTTCAACGGAGCACTTCATGTTGAACCTTTGCAAGGTTCGCGCACGGCTTCCAGTTGTGCCAAAACAGCATGCAGTGAAAATGAAGAACTCTGCACCAGGATCTGCACCACGATCTACGACGAGACTCCAATCTGACAGGTTCCCATCGGTGCTTTCTGGCTCGACCGACTCATTCACCTCTTCCCAAACATCTTCGGAGACATTCCAGGTTTCATTGGGAACGTCGGTCTCGTTCCAGCCCTGAGCCTGCCCGTCGAAAACACAACTTCTGCAGAACTATAGCAACACAAGCGGCAGTGTGTCTCAAACATTCTCAAATGCATGTATATGGCTCTGGGCTTCTTGTCTGAATGGCTGCCGGCCACTGGCAAAAGACGACACACTGAAGTGCTCCTGTACACCAACCCGCTGCAACCACTGAGGAAGGGACATCGCTGTCGTTGGCCGACTCGTTTCCAGCATAAGAAGCAGGAGCATCGTCTTCCTGCAAAAGCTGGATGCTTGCATCTCACGCAGCCTTGAATGCATAACACCACATGGCCGCAGGGTGTTTCGTTGTATCCGACAGGCTAGGTCATTGCCGCCAATAGACTTGCAGCATTGCTCTCGCTGCTCTTCTGAGCATTGCTATGTCGTTTCGGATCCGAGGACCAGCGAAGATCATATGTTGCTCCCCTTGTCAAGCCAGTACTTTAACCTGTAGCTGATTGCAGTCCAAGACGCTTGAAGATTTGAAGAGCCATTGCCTTGCTTGGTTGACCGTACCACATGCATGGGGATCCCTCATGCGGAAACATTAAAAGAAAAAACACGCAATGCAAAATCTCGGCTCATGTGACACATGCTGACGAAACAGCTGAATAGCAGTAGCAGCAAGCGACACGACAACCACTCACAACCTCACAGACGTTCTCACCATACTGCTGTGCACCAGTGCACCGCTCTATCAACACGTGCCAGAAAATCAACGAACCACCTTGACACCAAACCTCTGCATGCCCCGAGCTGCTGCTGTTCAACATCGCATCTGAAACGTTTTCAGTCCTTAGAACATCTTGTCAACGCTCATGCTCTTTCAACGGAGCACTTCATGTTGAACCTTTGCAAGGTTCGCGCACGGCTTCCAGGTGTGCCAAAACAGCATGCAGTGAAAATGAAGAACTCTGCACCAGGATCTGCACCACGATCTACGACGAGACTCCAATCTGACAGGTTCCCATCGGTGCTTTCTGGCTCGGCCGACTCATTCACCTCTTCCCAAACATCTTCGGAGACATTCCAGGTTTCATTGGGAACGTCGGTCTCGTTCCAGCCCTGAGCCTGCCCGCCGAAAACACAGCTTCTGCAGAACCATAGCAGCACAAGCGGCATTGTGTCTCAAACGTTCTCAAATGCATGTATATGGCACTGGGCTTCTTGTCTGAATGGCTGCCGGCCACTGGCAAAAGACGACACACTGAAGTGCTCCTGTACACCAACCCGCTGCAACCACTGAGGAAGGGACATCGCTGTCGTTGGCCGACTCGTTTCCAGCATAAGAAGCAGGCGCATCGTCTTCCTGCAAAAGCTGGATGCTTGCATCTCACACGGCCTTGACTGCGTAACACCGCGGGCCATATGGTGATTCCTTGTAACGGACAAGCTGGGTCAATGCTGCTGGTAGACTTGTGGCATTGCTCTCGCTTCTGGGCATTGCTATGTCGTTTGACCAAATGTCGTTCGCATGTCCAGCCATTACTTGAGCTTCGCTATAACTGATTGCAGGCCACGACGCCTGAACTTTTGAAGAGCCATTGCCTTGCTTGGTTGACAGTATCACACTTGCAAGGAAACAGAAGAGTAGAAAAAGGAAAGCTGAACCTCGGCTCATGTGACACGCTGACGCAACAGCATGAATAGCAGTAGCACGGAGCAACACCACAACTACACGCAGCCTCACGGAAGTTGTCTCACCACATATTGCTGTGCACCAGTGCACCGCTCTGTCAACACGTGTCAAAAAATCAACGAACCACCTTGACACCAAACCTCTGCATGCCCCGAGCTGCTGCTGTTCAACATCGCATCTGACACGTTTTCTGTCCTTAGATCATCTTGTCAATGCTTATGTTCTTTCAATCTGGCACTTCAGTTTTAAAACCCCCGCAAGGTTTGTTCTTGGCTTCCATTTGCATCAACAAACAACAAGCAAATGCATGACCCTGCACAACGACCTGCACCATGATCGAAGACGAGATTCCACTCTGACAGGTTCCCGTCGATGCTTTCTGGCTCGACCGACTCATTCACATCTTCCCAAATATCTTCGGAGACGTTCCAGGTTTCATTGGGAACATCGGTCTCGTTCCAGCCCTGAGCCGCCGCAGACAAACTTTTCTGAAGAGCTCAAGCAACAGAAGCAGCAGAGTGTTTCTCAAAAACATATTTGTGGCTCTGGGCTTCTTGTCTGAATGGATGTCGGCCACTGGCAAAGACGACACACTGAAGTGCTCCTGTACACCAACCTGCTGCAACCCCGAGGAAGGGACGTCGCTGTCGTTGGCCGACGCGTTTCCAGCACTCACAATGTCCTGCAGGGATGTTCATTGGGGTAGTTCTCTAGAGTAAAGTCCCCTGTTGGGGTCCTTACTCTAGGGTGCCGTACTAGATATACATACATATATGCAAGAGGAATACCATTTGATAAGAAACTATACCCTAAACCCTATATAAACCCTAAACCCTAAACCCTAAACCCTAAACCCTAAACCCTAAACCCTAAACCCTGCACAACCAAACGGGATTCTACAATTTCTTGGCTGGGCCGTAGGCTGTCGAGCCATCAGCGGTCCAAGCCCCGGGTAGCTTTGAGGATCCAAGGAAAAAAACAGAACCAAAGAGGGTTTAGGGTTTAGGGTTTAGGGTTTAGGGTTTAGGGTTTAGGGTTTAGGCCCTACTAGGTAGCCTATGATGCAGGCAATTAGGGTGTAGAGTCTAGAGTTTAGTATAACCCCTATATGCTGTTCTGGTAACTCTTAAGTTAGGCTCCTACTCGATCGGCTGAACAAATCGCCGTCGATCAGCAGCGAATTGCGCGTGCTGACAGTTGCAAGCCGAGTGGCATGAAGATTCAACAAGCCATTGCCTTGCTGGCTGAGACCCTAGACCCTACACCCTCTCTCTCTTAAACCTAAACCCTAAACCCTGAACCCCAAACCCTAAACTAAACCCTAAGCCATTGCCCTGCTGGCTGAAAACGTGGTAGTGGCGCATTGCTTGGTGGAAGTTTTTGTTGCTTGGGCTAAATCGGAAATCGAAAGTTGAAGACGAATAAGTTTTGGGTAGTGGCCGGAAACCATGGTCAAAGATGGTAGGGCACACTAACAAACGATAAGCACGCTTGTGATCGGAAACCTGCTTGAAGCTGACATGGACACATGAATCATGACTCAGGATCAGTAGAAATCACACACATCTGGCGCATCCTCACAGATGATCTACGCCACTGCATACCGCCATACATTGGCCACACCGCTCAAGATGAAATCTCTTGCAAAGCCCAAACCATGAAACCCAAGTTGCTGCCATTTGCCTGCTCTGACGAATTCCTTAGATATTCGTCAGGTGGGAGATGTACTCAAGGCCCACGCTTTAAGCCTGCATGTGCCTCAGACTTCACGTAAGCCATTTGCAAGGTTTGCCCGTTCAGTCCTGTAGTCTTTTGAGAATCAAGACAACACCCGAACCAAAGCAATACGCTGCTCAGGCAACACTTTAGCCAACAAATTAAACGAAACATGCTGGGACCTGAGACAAAGGCTCCAGTCGGAGAGGTTTCCATCGATGCCGTCCAGCACGACCGACTCATTGGCATCTTCCCCGACATCTTCGGACGCATTGCTTGCTTCAGGAACGACCCAGGTCTCGTTGAGAACGTGGGTTTCGTTCCAGCCCTGAGACCACCGCAACACGCGAGGGCTTGCCACGGGTGTCATGCTCCCAGTGTGATTTGTGCCGAACATGTCGCCACAACAACTTTGAGTACTGAGGCAGGGGCATCGCTGTCGTTGGCCGTTTCATTTCCGGCAAGGGCGTCCTGAAAAGATCGATGCCCGCACACCCACGGATTCCGGAACTTCTGCAGAACTTCTGGCGGCAAACCGAGTCGCGGGAAGCTTCGCGGAATCATTGCCTTGCTCGCTATTTAAGTCGGACGTGACACTTGTGAGGGGTCCGGAGAAGAGAATCTTGGAGGTGCGGCGGTAGCCAGAAACAGCCCGAACACTGCTGCACACATAGAGACCAATACTCCAAGAGGACCTACAAGCTACGAGTATGACGAACAGCCACAAGCACCTGCAACGCAAAATTTCCCGACGATCGTGGCTGGTGTCGACACTATATATAGTTAGCATAGGGCATGCCCGTTTTCGGTTGTTACATCACCGTCAACCAAATAGTAGCCATTATATCCTAAAACACATTACCATATAGAAATTATCCTATTTATCAGGTGATGTAACATCCGAAACTGGGCAAGGTTAGGTTTATTCAATTTATGGTTCATAGTATGGGTAGTAGGGTGGTTTCAATAATAATTTAATTTTATTATTAAATTATTATTGGTTTAACATTTATTGTTTTAAGTATTCGCCGTAATCTTCTTCCATTTTTTGAATACTTATATTAATCCATTTAACAGCATGTTTTGGTTTTGCATCTAAATATTTGGTGTCCTTGCTTCCTCCGTTCTGACATAGTATTTCAATATGCTCAATCAGTTCAGAGTATTTGTTAATTAACTGTCTATCTTCTTGGACTTTTCCTTCTAAAAAGGAAATATCATTCTTAACATTACAAACATCTTCGTCATCAAAGATACCTTCGTATTTCTTCAATAACTTTATTAACTCATGAATTTTATTTAGATATTCAGTCTCACTAATCTTTATTTGGTATATCTTTTTGATGTACTTCAATTGGGTCTTATAAGTTTTCAGATTTGTATAATCCATTTCCACTATAATATATTAAGTCGATATTTCTTTAAGTGCTTTTTTCTTAAGAACCTTTGCACAAGAAAACTTTGTGGTGCTTTCAATCATAATATTATTTTATTAATAATATTATGGTTGCTTATTTGTTATTATATTCAATCTTCTTCTTCAAATATATCACGTAAATATTCATATATAGCTTTTAAATCAAAATATTTTCTGTAAAGACCTGCTTGAGACTGAAAATAAAGGAACAAAATATCAACCATAATGTCACATATATATTCTTCATATTTATTTCTATATTTACAAGTCTCTCCTTCAAAGTCCCATTTTCCATAAAGATAATAGATGTTATAATCCAACAACCAGAACATTCGGTATTCATCAATCATTTTTATGTTCTTCGTATCATTCAAGAATTTTTTATATAATGGTTTTAATTCACTTTTTGATTTGTCTACAATGTCTTTCAAATAGTTCTTCTTATCTTTTAAATTTGTTAGTTTATTGTATCCATTATCAAAATGATTTAATATACAATGTATTTGTCTATGTTCTACTCTTTTGTAATTGGGATGTACGATTAATCTGTGGTCACCATATTTTTCAGCATATTCTTTTTCATGCTCATGCATTTTATGACAAAATGCACAAGTTGTATATGACAAAATGTTATTAGTAATATTACCATCAAATAACTGATTTAATATTACCACTCTTCTGCTCTTGTAACTGGTACAATACTTGCACTTAAAACCCAAATTGAATGTTTCCATGTTATAATATATTAAGTCGTTATTTCTTTAAGTGTTTTTTCTTAAGAAACCTTCCATAAGAAAACCCCCCGTGATCATTCCTTCCCTTTAAGTCTAGATTTCTCATTATTATTGAAACAAGCCCTACAAGTTTTATTGTATATTCTTTTGGAATGTTTACTTACAAACTCATCTACATATTTTACTTGCTTACATGCTTTACATTGCATGTATCTTACTCTACAAACTCTACCAACATCAAAGTCAACAACAATATTATCATCTAATTCACTCATTATTATTAGATGATAATATTATGCATAGGTTTTCGTTTCCTCGTTATACTTTATATTGTAATAGTCAAGGGTTGTTTGTTTCGGTTGTAAAATTTCCTTGTTATTCAGTTTAGTCAAATATGTATTCTTCTTATTTTCATACGTTGCATCAACTGGTGCTCTGTTAAAGTTTCTTGTAGACCTTTCATTTAGTAATTTCTCTATCCTCTCCAGTCTCAGTATGACGTCTTGCTTGAAGTCAGGTTTATCACCCATATACTTACATATACATTAAGTTTTTAAATAAAAACTTTTATAATAAAACTTTTATATTAAAATTTTCATAAACTGAATTATGAAAATTCTAAATTCCAAACTAATTAGGGATATATCTTATGTATATCCAAATTATGTAAGTGTTCCAAGATACTCCCCTTTCTCTTGCTCACTTACGATGTCTGGGTCTCACACAATTTAGGAGCAATGGGCGCACATTCGGGGTGTTCATCCTGTTTCATTTCTTTCCGGAGAATTCAAAAGAACTTTACACTGTCAATATATATTAGATTTTAACTTTTAAATATTAATCCAAAATATTCAAATTTGTTTTCAATTGTTTAACATCTTTTTTTACTTCTTCTACGTCTTCTTCAATTTTATCTAGTCTTTCCTCACACTCTTCGGGTGTAATTGTCCGATTTTGACTCCATCCTGTGCTACAAAGTTCAACGCCTCCAGTTTGTGGTGCTATATCTGGTTTAAATATTCCATCGTCTGGTGATACGTTCCTGCCTTTTCCAATGCGAAAGCTAGAACGGTCTTCTACAACATTAACAACAACCTTATCATTTTCTGTTGTTGTTTTAGTTTCTTTATGGTATGTGTTTCTCTTACATCTACAAAATAGACAATTAATGCCATCTTTATTTACACTTACGCCGCCATCAGTTCCATCTTTATTATTCTCTTTGTTTGAATCGCTCATATATAAATGTATATTAGTTTTTCTTCAATTTTAAATATTGCAAAATCCCTTTACATATTTCCAACACCGAGTAGCAACACCTACGATATCTAGGCGTTGTTATTATTATCTGTTCTATTTCTTCAAGGTTGTCAATGACATCAATGCAATCACCGTAATTCATATATTATAACATATAATTTTTCTAACTAATATTAATAATGAACGAGAATGTTCCGACGGTAGAACCAATTGATATACCCAAGTACCAGTTCAAAAACAGTAAGTATGAAATGATGCCATCCTTACCAGCGAGAATGTTGGCTGTGGCTTCCAGTACAGGCGGTAAAACAGTTTTGATACAGAACTTAATATTGAAGATTTACCGCAATAGCTTTGAGAGAATCTATATATTCAGTCCTAGTGTGGATGTGGACGACACGTGGAATGCAGTGAAGAAGTACATAAAGGATGTAATGAAAGTGGACTCGGAAAAGGAACAGATATATTTCAATCATTACGACGCAACTGCCTTACAGAAAATAATAGACACCCAACACAAGGTAATAGAGTTCCAGAAGAAGAACAAAGACAAGGATTTATTCAGTATACTAATAGTCATTGATGATTTCGCGGACGACCCAAAATTTGTAAGGTACTCAAGTATCTTGCACGGATTGTTCACAAGAGGTAGACATAACGCAATTTCAGTGATACTGTCCACTCAGAAGTACAACGTGCTAGCTCCAATAATTAGGCTCAATGCATCGGCACTGTTTGTGTTCAGACTCAAGAACATGAATGAAGTCAATGCATTTTTAGAAGAGAATAGCGCGCTGGTAAACAAGCAACAGTTATATGAAATGTACCAACTGGCGATAAACGATGCTCCATATAGCTTCTTGTACATAAACACGAATGCAAAAGATGCAAATAACATGTTCTACATCAGATTTGAGAAGGTCTTAAGGACTGATGAAGATGATTAATAATTATATCAAAATAATATTATTAATCATCAGAATAATGAGAAACTACAACAGTTAAACGGTAAGCATTTAGAAGAAGTACCGCAATATCCTTTGTTTTTGTTTTTCAACTGTTCTATTTCATCTTCTAACTTTTGTATCTTCTCTGTTAAATCTTGGATGGTGTTAAATATAATTAACTCCGACTTAATCTTTTGTAGTTGCTCATCTAACTTCTTTTCAATTGCATCGTCCATCGTAGGCATTATATATTAATTTAGAATTTAGTTTTTACTTTTGGCTTTTGCCTTCGCCTTTGCTTTCGGGCTTTCCTCGCCTTTTAATTTACGAATTTCCTTTTTGAGTTCTTCTACTTCATTTATTGTTGCTTGTAAAGCGCTCCATATAATAGGAACACAAGACGTATAATCAAACTTTAAATATCCATCTTTGCCCTCTTTAACTATATTTTGCCATTCATTCGGAACTTTCTTAGTTAAAAAGTCATTAGCAATAAAACCACAGCACGATTTACCTTTTTGTCTATTATCCACAAAATGATAAGTTTTTGGAACAATGTATTTAACTAATTCAATTGCTTGTTTCTGGTTAAGTTCCTTAATATCTTTCTTCAATCGTTTATCGGAACTTGGAATTAAAGACCCTGTGTATTCAATATCACCATTAACCAGAATTCCACTTGGCGAAATTGAAAATACATCATTACTTACTGAAACACTACCAAAATAAAATGCATATTCCCCACCTGCATCAGTATTTAAAAACTGTATCTGGTCTACTGTGCTTATTGTCTCTTGTGTTATTTCTAAATTATTCATTTTAACTTTCGCTTCACTTAATGATAATTCGGGTGTGCTTCCTATCGTTCCTATGATAAAATTTATTGCCCTGTCTGTGTCTCCATTTCTTAAAACTAAATCATAATCACTACCATTTAAATTTTCATATATTGCTGATGAATGTTGAAATAACAAATCTCCCCATACCCTTAATGCTCCTTCTGCTGTTATATCTCCTATACTATTAAAAGTCTGATTGTTTGTAACTGCTCTGTTTAAGGTAATTCCGTTAGTGTCATTTAACTGCAACGCTATAGTCCCTGTAGTTGGGTCGGTTGTTCTATCAGACTGTAATGAAAAATTTATCTCTTCTGTTGATATAACATTTAATGAGTTATTAACGTCAGCTCTTTGAAATATTCTTCCA